AGATGTTGGATCGAACAGCACAGATTTCATAGCCCAACTGTAAATCTAAACAGACTTTGCCAACTGCTTTTGTAAAGCAGAACACAAGAAGAAGAGTTACTTTATACAGCTATCCATCAAGTGCAAACACAAATACAGTAGTACCTTGGTATACGGCCTTAATCCGTTCCTAAACCTTGGAAGCATACCAAATAGGATGTATAGCAAACAAATTTTCCATAAGAAATAATGCCATAATAATCAATATGTTATCATGAAAAAATCATACTGTTGTTTGCATATTATACATTGATGTGGTTGTTTAAAAGAATGCAAACATTGATTAATATTAAAATACATGCACAACAACACAAAAGAAATTAGATGTGTGTGGGGGGGGGGGGGGGGGGGTGTCAAAATGTAACCTGACTTTACACTGCTGGGAAGAGTCAAGTACCTATTAGGATGATGCTGAGAAAGAAGGAGTTGGAGATGTCATTGTTTGGAAGGAAAGTCCCTTTCTAAAAAAACTTCAGGAATCTTAAATTCTGGTGTTTTATTCCCACGTCTTTTTTGGGTGTTTCTTTTCCCTACTTGGAGCCAGTCATATCCTAAACAAAGATCGTACATCAGGGAACATTTTTCATTTCTTAAAAGGACGTATACCAAGTTGGAATTATTAAGAAGCGGACGGACGTATACCGAGGTACCACTGTATGTGCTTTTATGACAAATAAGACCCACCTCATTGTCCACATAGTGGTCACATCCATAGCACCAGACGCTGAGGTCAGCGTAGCTGAGAACCACATTGTGGCCTGTCTCCTGGTGGTGCACCAGCATATGCTCATTGACAAATCGGCTGCATTCAACCTGGCAATGGGTAAATACAAATATTCAGTGTAAGGCTCTTTGTACAGAGTTAATCAATTCAGCATGCTGTTTTTTTAATTAAGTTTCTTCTGCAGCTTTGCAAGAACATAACAGGTTTCCTTATGGCACAAAATACAAGTCCCATGCGCAATACAAGACTCTTAATGTCTTATAGCCTCTCTTGTTGCTCAAGCCTACCTCACCTTCATGTAGCAGTATAATGTTTTTCCTAGTAATCCAGTTGGTGGACAGGACAACAAATTTGAAATCCAGTTTTGCTGACCAGCTAATGAGCCGAGTGGTCGAGTCCATGGTCCTAAACAGTAAGCTGTGAATTTCAACAGTAATGCTCATTATCTGTGCTTCGTCTGGAAATATTGGTTGTAACAAGTGTGAAATCTGATACTGTCAGCCAGCTAACATGTTGAGTGGCCAACTGCATGGTGCAACACTGTGAGCTGTGAATTTCAAGTGGAATGCTTATTGTCTGTGCTTCAACTTGAAATATGGATTAAGCAGCGCTGTGTGTGCCCCTGCTGGTTTGCTGTGACTGCTGCTTCCATCAACTTTGAGCAGCAATTCTAGTGACAGACTGTAGATACTGGCTTTTTTTTTTAAAAATTCATGTGTGAGCTGTTGCGAAGATGGTCTAAAATCTGTTTCAGGCAGGCAACTTGAAAAAGAGGAAAAGGTTGGAGCAACAGAAAGACAGAATGGAGGAGGAAGATAAGACAGGAGGAGGAGGAGGAAAAAGAGGAGAAGAAAGAAGTGATAGCAATTATTATGATGCAGTGGCAGAAGGAAAGAAACAGAATGCCAGACACTATTTCTAAATAATGCTAACCTTGAATTCTACACCATGCTTGCATGCACGCACGGTTTAGATTGTTAAATCCTAAATATTACCCCTGGGATGTGTGGCACATATAAATTATTCAAACTGTAATTTAAAACAAAAGTTTACCAACAGTCATGCAGTCAGAAATTCACACAATAAAACCAACAGATAGTAGGAGAATCACAATCAAATATTAAACAATGTATCAATATGTGAGCCCCAACAGTCACATGAAAGGCATTGTTCATTTATGAATATCATCTTAAATGTGACTGGATTTTATAAATACGAGCACAGAAGCCTGTATTATGCTGGGGTTCTTCTTTTGCTTCTGGCTTTACAATTGTGGTGGGCATGTTGTGTTGTGATTTATAGCTTGGCTGTGATATATGTGACTTCTGGCCTAACATTTCTGACAAAAACGAATTCCTTTCCTTTACGGTGTGCTTGTTAAGAGACAGTGTGCCTGTGTCGCCCCCACTTTTCCCCCTTAAACCCTCCTTAAGTAGGCCTCTGAATCAACAATGGAAATAGCTGGGTTCAATTCTTAGTAGCATAACGGAAACAGATGAAGCGTTGTTGATCACCCACCTCAAAAATGTCATATATTTGAGGATGAAGGCAAGTGACATGAATATAATCATACGCAAACAGACTAAAAACAGCTTGGTAGCTGTGGAGGTTCTGAAAAAGGCAAGCAGAGCAACTAACAATGACTGCCTGGAGAAGCTGTCATACAATTTTTTTTTTTTTTTTACTAAACTACTAGAGAAACATCTGGGCAACCACTAATAGTATGGGACTATTCAACTAAATACATTCAGGGGACACAATTTTTAATATGTGATCATTAGAGTCAGAAAGATTTTAATTAGGGGCAAGGTGGGGGGAGGGGGAAGAGGAGGGGGGGGGAGAAGGGGGAATAGGCCAAAAAAAGTATCCATGACACAGAAGTGGTTGGCTGAACCCTAAGGATTTCTTGTGTGCATTTTAAACAATTTTCACGTAGTTGGTTAAACCACATTTCTCCCAGATTTACGGTATTTATCATGGAATCAGTGTTGAAGGGTTGCGATATCCATGATACCAAGCCTAAGGGTTAACAACTCATGGCTACTGAATACTTTAAAAAAAAACTTTCACTCATTAAATTATTAAGGTTTTGAATGTCAAAATTGTGAGAGATAGAACAAGAAATTATGTTCCTTTCAGCAGCTATGGGTTTCTTTTTCTTTTCTTTGAGCAGCAGATTCCCTGAGCAAATAAACTACTTACAGTATAACAGGTAAGACAGACCCAATTCTCTGACGTATCTCTGCAGGTGTGGCAGGGGGAGCGGGGGCTGAAGCCTGACTGCGGTACTGGTCTCACCTCCGTCAGATGGGGACACCAGGGCAACGGCTGGACAGCGTGAACTTCTTCCAATCCCTAGAGAAAAACATGAGCAGATCAGACACAAGAGAAAACGAGGATACCAATGTTACTGTAAAGGTTGCATACAGTCCGCTACAAAAGTAAATTGACTTTGAATATATATCAAACACAAGTCATATATTTCACTGAAATTATTATCTGCCTGAAAGGCTAATGAACTAACAGCCTGCACACGAATAAACAGCATTTGTAAAAATGGATGAGCAATTAAAATTCAAGTCTTGGGACAAGACCAAAGTCCGGAAGTGGACGAACAACTAGGATTTTACGCTAGGGATTACAGCCGGTGAACAGGAAGAGGAAGAACTAAAATTATTTTACTTCCAACTGCTGTTAGGTTTCCTCTGTTAAAATTCATCGATTTGTAAAATTACGAAGTAATTACTCGCAGTCGCATTCAGATACGAATCCCAGGGGCAGCTTTGATTTTTCCCAGTAAAGTGCATGGAAAAATTGATGAAACTGCAAAAGGAGTGGATGTTTCCAATCCACCCAGTTATCGTTATCGCTGCCTTGCATTTTCCAGTACCTTCCAGAATATTATCCGGCACCAATTTTAACTCCCTCAGTCCTAGAATGTGCTGAAGAAGAGAAATAACCATTATAAAAAAAAATCATGCGTACACTAAATATCAAAGAGGCAACTGCAAATGCCAGATTTCTTTAGTATTCTATGACCAAATGTAAAAAGTAACAGAACACATTGGGTAATGTTTGGGATTCATGAAAAGGAGTTTATCACACACGATTCGCTGCTTAGGACTAAATGAGTCAAAGTATGCTTAGAACTAACTCATGAGTTCGAACTCCCCCCCCCCCCCACACACACACAAAACGTCACTGCAAACAAGCATAAGGCATATTTTCATGTACTTGAAGCATAACAACGAGGGATGACAAGAAAGAAGATGCTGACAAGTTTAGCATCACGGAACAGAAGATCATTTGTGCCAGAAATGACTGACAGTAGACAAGGCAGAGGGCCGTGGACAGATATTACTAACGTCGAATGGCATGGAAGGCCTTCTCCGAAGTCAGCCGAAATCGGAATCTCTCTCTCTCTCTCTCTCTCTCTCTCTCTCTCTCTCTCTCTCTCTCTCTCTCTCTCTCTCTCTCTCTCTCTCCTCCTTACTTATTTATACAACAATTACCGCGACAGCGAGGAATTTCCTCCATATTTCTCAGTACCGCCTACAGTCAGGCACACACGATAGGACCACGGAAATGGGGAAAATGGGGAAAAAAAAATCTGGGGGGGGGGGGTGAAATATGTCGGCTGTTGCAGGAAGTATTATATATATATATATATATATATATATATATATATATATATATATATATATATATATATATATATATCATATAGATAGCCTTAGCCCATATATATAGACAGCCTTAGATGGGTACCAGGAAATGTCACGGGAAGTAAACGCTCCCGACGTAATGTTAACTAAGTCATCCTTCGAATGCCGACTTGATACGTCAGGAAAAGAACATGCAGTGAAGTATTAACTATGAATGGTAACATAACCAGACCAGGAACAGAAAAATTACAGAAGTCACAAAAGGGTGGAAAATGCATACTGCAAGAAGCTAAAGGAGTAAGTAAACCGCAAGGAGCTGAAGGAGTAAGTAAACCGCAAGGAGCTGAAGGAGTAAGTAAACCGCAAGGAGCTGAGGGAGTAGCTAAACTACAAAAAGCTGAAGGAGTAAGTAAATAGCAAGGAGCTGAAGTAGTAAGTAAACCACAAGGAGCTGAAGGAAAAAGTAAACAGCAAGAAGCTAAAGGAGTAAGTAAACCACAAGAAGCTGAAGTAGTAAGTAAACCACAAGGAGCTGAAGAAATAAGTAAACCACAAGGAGCTAAAGGAGTAAGAAAACCACAAGGAAGCTAAAGGAGTAAGTAAACCACAAGAAGCTTACGGAGTAAGTAAAAGACAAGGAGCTGAAGGAGTAAGTAAACCACAAGGAGCTGAAGGAAAAAGTAAACCGCAAGGAGCTGAAGGAGTAAGTAAACCACAAGGAGCTGAAGGAGTAAGTAAACCACAAGGAGCTGAAGGAGTAAGTAAACCACAAGGAGCTCAAGGAGTAAGTAAACCACAAGAAGCTAAAGGAGTAAGTAAACCACAAGGAGCTGACGGAGTAAGTAAACCACAAGGAGCTGACGGAGTAAGTAAACCATAAGGAGCTAAAGAAGTAAGTAAACAACAAGGAGCTGACGAAGTAAGTAAACCATAAGGAGCTAAAGGAGTAAGTAAACCACAAGGAGCTAAAGGAGTAAGTAAACCACAAGGAGCTGACGGAGTAAGTAAACAACAAGGAGCTAAAGGAGTAAGTAAACCACAAGAAGCTAAAGGAGTAAGTAAACCACAAGGAGCTGACAGAGTAAGTAAACCACAAGGTGCTAAAGGAGTAAGTAAACTACAAGGAGCTGACGGAGTAAGTAAACCACAAGGAGCTGACGGAGTAAGTAAACCATAAGGAGCTGAAGGAGTAAGTAAACCACAAGGAGCTAAAGGAGTAAGTAAACCACAAGAAGCTGAAGGAGTAAGTAAACAGCAAGGAGCTGAAGGAGTAAATAAACCACAAGGAGCTGAAGGAGTAAGTAAACTGTAAGGAGCTGAAGAAGTAAGTAAACCACAAGGAGCTAAAGGAGAATGTCAACTGAAAGCATTTTTGTCTTATAATAAATCTTAACAGCCCACTGAATTATGTGACGTCTGCACAATAAAGGCTGTATATACGGCACCCGCTGCTGTCTTTGGCAATATTATGTGGTTAGGCTTTAATCTCTCATAACGTGTGACTCTCACAGATCTGTCTGAAAACAGCCAGAAAGGATTTTGTGTGTGTTAAATACAATCCACCGCGGACATCGAGCCCTAATATTCGAAGGCAATGAAACTGTCAGATGCACTCACTAACCACTAGGCCTGTTAGATGCACTCACTACCCACTAGGCCTGTTAGATGCACTCACTAACCACTAGGTCCCACAAAGCCGCCATTTTGAAATGTCTCTTACCAATTTAATCCTTCTACGAGAAGTGTTCGAGATGCTAATGTATTCAAATACGAACACTCAACGAGCCTGCGAAGTTCGTGCGCCGTGTCAATATTATACTTGTAAGTTATATATACGGAGACGTGACAGTTAATGAAATATCCGAGCATGGAATTAAAGTAATGACGTACAGCCCAAACCGAAAAGCCATCATATAACTTCTCGTTAGCTCAATTATCACAGAGACATCCGGTACCCGGAAAAGCCTGTCCTCACATCTCTACTGACAAGCAGCAAATTAAATATCAAATATCTGGGTGTAATTCTCTAACATAGCTCACATACATGAAAGTGAGTTTCGAGTTTCCTTATCCAAGACTCCAGCTGCGTGTCAGACAATTCTTTTGAGTGTCACGACGAGACAACAGCGCCGAAAACTTCAGTACCAGACTCTAAAGGAGTTTATCCATCTTAACAACAACATAGTCCAGACACTAACACGATCTTCAAGATTTATTATTGGACTCGTGATTTCAGTTTTAAAAAAAATAACCACTCATGCCACTTGCTTTGCGAAAAATACTGACATTCTTCATCTGTATCTGAAAACAGAGAGGGACTGGCTCATAAACAGTATTGTTTCTCGGAAACTGAAACACTTTGACTAAACTCCATAATGGTTTGGGAAGCACATTAATGGAAGGTATGACTCTTGGAATAATAGGCAGAGGTCGACCAGCATAATGGTGATCAGAGTATGTCCGGAACATCCAAGGTTTCAATGTTGCCGAGGCGGAAAAGTTGGCAAACGACCCAGTGCATTTTCGAGTGCTGCAATGCGAGAGATGTGCTGCAATGCGAGAGAGGTTCTGCAAACGTGTCTTACTCCTTAAGAAACAAATAAATACCCTGATAAAGACTTTGGACCAGTTGTTCTCTATCTTCCCAGGTGGTGGTGTACCTGGACCTAACAATGGTGAAAACGGCTGTTTCATCATAGCAACCAAATCATAGCACCATGTGCCAGAGGTGTCTGGATGTCTTTGCTTTCAAAAACACACGTGTTAGGAGGTATTCAGGCGTTTTTTGTTAGAAAATGTAGCGAAACTTTTCAGTCTAGTCATTTTGGTCCTAATTGATAAAAAAAAAAAAAAAATGCATGCATACATAGGCTAATTCAAATAAATGTTGACATGTTATTGTGAACTATAAAGAATTAGTTCATTCAATTTCCTAGAAGAAAATTGTTTTGTATATGTTAATTAAACGCTTTCAGGTACCTTGCCGACTAGCTTGGGCAATTATGTCTTTCCACAATGGCACATAGATAACATCGGATGGAAGATGTATACCTGAGATAAGAATTCTTGCTTACATACATCCAGTTTATATACACATAAACATATCAAAAATATACATATATCTGGTGTGTAAATTAAGAGAATCCTCTTCTGAAGGCACCGTCTAGTTGGCAGTGAAACTCAAAAAGCTCCGTCTCCAAAGGGTAAGAAGATAATGACGGGTAGTGTGGTGTTGACCATATTAACCACCGTGTGCCGATAAGCCTATGCAAACATGAGCCTATGCATCGCATGGTTTGCAACAGGTCCTTTACTGAGCCTTTATATTACCACCTGGTTCCTGGCCCATCCAGGCATCTACAGTGTTGGCCACTTGGTCAGCGTGGATCCTTTGACTTAATTTTGTTTTCTAACGTTCAGGTTATATAGCCCAAACGAAGGGGCGGTAGAACCTGTGGGGTTAGCGCCCCCCCCTCTCCCGCCCTTTTTCCCGCCTAAGAAATGTGCAAGGAATCCAAGCGGTGCCCTAGTTGTACTGAAGTCCTTCTTTTTCACATACACTGTTACGCTTATATATAATTCAGCATATTATTGTTGCTGCTGCTGCTGCTGCTGCTGCTGCTGCTACTGCTACTGCTACTACTACTACTACTACTACTACTACTACTACTACTACGACGACGACGACGACGACGACGACGACGACTACTACAGACGTTTGCATGGATTCATTTTTTCGCCATGAATGGGTTTTTTTTTTTTAAATGTCAAAACACCGGATTTCATTTTTAAAAAGCCCGTAAACCCTGTTCAACGATACAGGAAATTATACTGGGGGAAAAAGGGGTGGCGGAGGGGGGGGAGGAGGGGGTGAGAGGGAGAAAACCACAAAACGGTAACGAAGCAAACTGTAGTTCACTGTGGGTGGGTGGGTTACACAGTTTTTTTTTTTTACAGATAATTTATATCTTATGTCACTGAGTGGTTTCTGCAAGCAGGCCTAGGTGCACTGTTTTCCCCGGGAACTCTGCAACGCTGTTATGATTAGAATCGTGCAGACATTACTAATTTGCAAAACATAAAGGCAAATTAATTTGATAAAAGTACAACAGAAATAAAAGGACAATGGAAATAAACAATAACAAGTATATCATATATTCTATACAGGCGCAGACACTACACGATGATGTCGTGGAATCAATGCCAGGCCCAAAATATTGCGCAGCCAATTAGTTTGTTAGTAAACAATGCGACATTATTGGTAAAAATTACCATGACAAACCTTGTCTATGGGAGTCACCGTGGCGTTGGCGGCTATATGCCCGCCTGCGGATCGGAAGGTCGCGGGTTCGCGTCCTGGCAGAGCCAGACTTTTTTTTTTTTTAAATGACCCTGACTTCCAGGTGGACCCAGCCTTGAGTGGGTACCTGGTGCAGTCCTGGAAAGAAAAGGCGGCCGGCGTGATGCTGACCACATCACCCACCAAGTGCTGATTGGTCTATAAAAATATAGATCTAGCTTTATATTCCTAATACGCATAAAGGCGTTGAAAAAGGACTTTGGCTATCTTCCAAATAACGGTCCCAAATTATCGGGGTCGAAAATATACCCTAACAGGCCCTCAGTCACGTGTCGATAAGGACTTGAATTGCGCATTTCTGGCGACTTCCGCCACCGCCGAGAGTATCGCTCACGCCGCTCACGAGGCGTGGATAGGGGCTAAACTAGATGGCTGGGACTCATGAGCAGCTGCTACCACATCTCCTGCAGCTTCCTTCATTTTATTTGCTCGTGAGTCCCAGCTATCTAGTTTAGCCCCAATCCAGAGCGGCGTGGGGGATAGTCTAGGCGGTGGCGGAAGTGCGAAATTCGGCGGTGGCGGTATAGCACCTGGAAGTGCGCAATTGACACGTGACTGAGGCACTGTTAGGGTATATTTTCGGCCTCGATAATTTGGGACCTTTATTCGGAAGATAGCCGGGACTTTTACTTTACCTACCTTTTCTATGGAAAAGTCAGCATGCAAAAGTAGAAAACGTAAATTCCTATTTTACTCAGCGGCCTGGGGTAGAAAATAGTGGAAGACAAAGAAGAAAGCAGACTAATTGCTGGAATTATAACTGCACGTTTTCGTCTTTTCTTGTTTTGTTTTACATCCGACTAAAAGTCTCTGATGAGCATGGGAGGAATTCAAAAGGAGTAAAGAAATAGGAGGAATGTCTAGGCAACCACTAGTATCAACAGTTAAAAGACAGAGAAGATGGCGCTATACTGGACACATCCTGAAAAAAAACCCCAGCACACAATCACCAAACAGGCATACACATGGGATATAAGGAAATTAAAGAGGCGAGACGCCTGAAAGAAACCCCAAGACGAACGTTGATGAGAGATGCCAAAGCTGCTGGACTGCATTCCATCCATGACTACACAGGGTAGAACGGAATGGAGGAATAGACTGCGAGCCCTATGTGACATATAATGGCACAACTGGATAATCAATGAATGAATAAATCTCTGAGGCTAAGCCTCCAAACGTCCATCCTATTATGGCTAAAGCAGTTCGAGAATAATCGCTGCTTGTGTATGTGGTCTACTGTATGAGTTAACAAAATGGACAGCCTGTCGGGATAAGTAAGCAGGTATAAGTTCAACAAGAGACATGTGAGAAACGAAGAAATTACAAGAACTATTGGAAACAAAGAAATTACAAGAACAATTGAAACGAAGAAACCTCAAGAACTATTGGAACAACACGTTATTAAATTATGTACGAGTCCCTAACACCGAAGACCGTGATCTGTGGAGACGCATAAACGCTAACTGGCAAGGCACTTGATGATGATGACGTATACATAGTGGTCTTAACGAGAGGACAGCATCCAGTCTGCTGACATGTATAAATGGACACACGATATAAGCAACTCCTTGGGTATAAAAGTGGGCGAGGCGGGAGACTTTGCGAGCGACCGGGCATTGTATGCCATCAAGAACCATGAAAAGGACTGATGCAGTGTTGATGTGAACGAGTCAGGCCAAAATACTGTCACGACTGTCGACGACGTCGTCTACAGGCGAGCCAATGGGCGATCCGGTCGCCGATGACACCGAGTTTCTTACACGTAGACCGTGATGAGAGCGACGTTCTGCAGGGGATCTGCTACATGCTGAGATGTT